GCGATTTGCTGTAAAAATGCAGGGAACCACTCGCTATAAATCTCCTAACTGTGATATTTTCATAAATAGAAGTCGCGTTTTTTTCATCTGAAACGTGCAGCGATTTATTTTCCAAAGCCACTCATATAATGCAGAAACGCTCACGAAGCAAGCAAAACATGCGCAACGCGTGCACGTATTTGTACTGATACAGAATGAGAGGAACAAGTACAGTACAGACTAGCGCATTTCACGCAGGCTGTCAGTTTCACTTTCGCCAGAAAGTCGTGTATGCTTAAGGGTGAAAATAAATTACGTTTATAGTGAATGCCCCTATAAATTGTCTTATATTTACGATTTAGTTTTAATCCAAATGATGCCTGTGCTAAGTGAGCGAACATCAATAAAGATCACACAACAGAAGTGCGCGCGCGCGCGCGCTCTCTCTCCCTCCATTAAGTAACGTGTGCATTGTTTTACTTACTTCTTTTTGAAATATCCGACCGAACTACAAACTTTCCATTGATGTCTGTGAGAAAGGGATATTCACTTGACAAGCTCGCGCATCTGCGCCGCTGCGCGCTCAATCCACTTACCAGCTGGCGCAAATCAGCTATACAGGCATTAATACTGAATGTTTTATATTCATTGCATACATATACTTCGTAGACATCTTTAATCTCTAATAACTCCATTCTGCTGTCTGTTGTCGGTGTTTCTTTGTCTGAATATGGCACTTATCACATGCTGTGTGGTATCGGCGTTTGGTATGGGGGCATATTAACGAGTACCAGTACAGGAGCTCAGTATCGGGTCCCATACCGAATCCGATACGGTGCATCCCTAACAAAAATTATCCCACAATACAAAATTATATAGCCAAAGGTATTTGGGAAATGTCATTACATTTAATTTAAATAATTAATGGAAGTGAATTAATTGATGAATAAATTAATTGCATCGTTTAATTGATTGAATTGAATAAATCTTTAAATAAATCACTTAAGCATGCAAACATGTAAATTTAATTTTTTCCCCAAAATTAATACATGGTAATATGAATGAAAATGCATATACATTTATTTTCAGGTTTTGAAAAATCAAGGACAGCATGTGATTTGGAATGGGTGCATTTCAACCAATACATGTAATAGGTGATTATATTCTTCCTATCTTTGAATATGCTTTGGATTTGACCATATGTTCCAGCCCAATGAAAAGGTAAGTGATTGTCTAACCCTGCCCTCCAGATAACCTCTGAAGAGGATTCAGAACTGTGCACTATAAGCCCCTCTTGTCAGCGAAAACAGTGGGGGTCTTTGTGATCAGTCCGATTAGATGTGTAAAGCTGCATAAAGCCACTTTTGCTACAGGTTATCACATTTTCTTCAGGAATACGTCAGACAGAGGTCATTATGACAGACCAGCTGCCAACAATAGTCCAGTGTAGCTGAATTTACTATGGTACGGCAGACATGCTAGGATGTTAGGAGTAATCAAGTGTGAATTTAAACTCACCATCTAAATTACACACTGTGGAGCCATAGAAGCTTTTCGTTCATTTGGACACGTGTGCTTTGGCCTTACATCAGGTAACTGCTGAAAAGCTTGAGGGATTTCCCTCCTGATTGCTCCAGTGTGTCTCATAAAAGCTCCCCAAAGCCTTGATGTCGTTCTCAGGTATGACCTAATGAATCTGGCACGAGATGAAAGTGAGGATATGCTCTTTTTTTCTGGGAAAGTAAGAAGAGAATGAATGTCTCACATTCACTGTCAGATGTATGTTCAGTCATGGCTCATTACGTTTTATTCTTAGCAGCCATTTGTAGCACTTTACATAAAGTGCAGTCGGAATTTATGTGTAACTGCACATTTTATTAATCTCAGTCTGAGATGTAGTTATTATTTTTTAGATGTTTTATGTAAAGGCTAAGCATCGATTTGACTGAAGTTTGATATCAGTGTCTAATGAGTCTGGGCGCACAGCTAGAAATGAAGGTTTGCAGAGGCTGTCTTATCATATGAATTTTCATAACAACGTTCATCCTCTATCACAGCAGGGGATCACTGTTTACCTTGTCTCCCTGTCTTTGAGACATCCTGTCTGCATACTTCCATCAGCCTCTTTCCAAATTAGCTTCTTAGATGAGCGAAATGATGAGGATTGATCTGGACAAAGAGATAAAACCCAGAAAATAAATCTGAAAAGCTCCAGTCATATGCTTGATATAAGGATCTGCCCGCTTATTTTATGTAGACTGTCATATAACCTTATACTCTATATCCATGGAGTACTAAATACTTTATGATGTTTCACCATGCAGTTAGCCTATATGATCATTCATTATGAATCATACAACTGAAACTAGAGGATGTATACAACGGAGTCTACTTTGTAGCTTTCAATGCCCTCACCAGATGCCTATAGCTATAATGTACAGCACTGTATGACTGTGTGTATTTATTTATTTATTATAGACAGACACAACACTTAGGGCTTCACACACATGGACAGTCAGACAGACAGACAGACAGACAGACAGACAGATAGATAGATAGATAGATAGATAGAAATAATAATAATAATGTGCTTAATTAATATTCATTATTCATATACCAGTGCTTGATTAATATTCATTATTCATATAGCCTACCAGTCAAAAGCTTTTGAACAGTAAGATTTTTTGTTTTTTAAAGAAGTCTCTTCTGCTCACCAAGCTTGCATTTATTTAATTAAAAAAAACAGTAAAATTTTTGAAATATTTGTACTATTTAAAATAACTGTTTTCTATTATATTTTATAATGTAATTTATTTCTGTGATTTCAAAGCTGATTTTTTTAGCATCATTACTCCAGTCACATGATCCTTCAGAAATCATTCTAAAATTTTGATTTGCTGATCAAAAAACATTTATTATTATTATTATTATTATTATTATTATTATTATTATTATTATTATTATTATTATTATTATTATTATTATTATTGTTATTATATTTTTTAAAGTCAGCATGAAATTATACTGTATACCCCATTGAGTATATGGAAATGTAATATATGACCTACTATATATATATATATA